CCGGAAAGGGAGGGAGAAGCTCTGGGCCTGGGAGACGCCGGGGAGGACCCACTGGAGGAGCACAGTCACCACAGCCGCCGGGAAGGCGGCCGGAACCGCCATGGCCGTCCCTGCGCCGCGGCCGCCCGTCGCCATGGTGCCGACGCCCGCGGCTGCGCAGTTTCCAGCGCCCCGTCAGCCCTTGCGGCGACTCTGCAGAGCCGATTGGTCAACTTCGGCCTGAGGCTCCGGAAGTGTCTACGGAAAGCTGCTTGGTTGCTAGGTTACCAAAGCCGCGGGAAGCTGGTTGGTCGTAAAAAGAAAGAATGCGGGGTGAGCCCACCTTGGGGCCTGGGAGGTCCCACCCTGTCTTTGAAAACCTTTGTTTCAAACAATGTGACGGGAACCGTCTGCGGGATGGGAACTCGATTTGGAGGTCGGGAGATAAAATAGCACCGAAAAGAAAAATACCAGATTGCATCGCACAAATTAAAAGTATTTCATTAAACTGTTAAATGATATATACGTCAGAATTCATCCAGATTAGGTCATTTCGTGTTAAAGGATTAACAGTCCAAAAAGTATTTGTCGAAATACGTCTGTCGGAAAAGTAGGCAGAACGCTGATAGGCAGCGCTGGGAGACTGGCTCAGAAACCAAAGAAAGGTATTTCCTGCCAGACCTTTCTTTGCGTTTCTACTTTCCTTATTTTGAGCACAAAAAAACCGTGTATATAAAATGCGATAATATTCGCCCCTCTTGTGAATAAAGAAGGAACCTAATACTTTTAAATCAAATTTATAGACATGGATGTTGTCTTTCAAAGTAGACACCCATGGAGGCTGTTAGCCCCCCCAAAACATTTCAAAGTTACCTTCAGAGCCAGTTCACAGGTCAACTCTTTAAGGGAATACTATTTCTTTTGAATCCTTTTACAAAAAAGGAAACTGAAGATTAAAAAAGTTACATTATTTCGGAAGTGGTGAAACTAGAATTTAGCTCCATTTGTTATCTCTGAAACCAGTTATCTTTTCAATCTATTAAGCATTTTTTGTGTGGAATAATTTGGCGTATTCTACAATGGGACAAACCTGTTGTTTTTATTTAACAAGATGATACTGCCATTATATACCACAGACAATGGAACTATGTTGGGCACTGCACCTAACAAAACTGCTCCCAAAGAGCTAAATAGAGAGCTTATTTGTAGCAGAAGGATTCAAAATAGATAAATTTAAGGTAACTGTAGGTACTGTGGGTTCAGTGTATGAAGTGCCCACAAGGATAGCAGAAAAAATGTTAGCTAAAGCTGTTAAGCATAAATTGGGACCATATCAGGGACACTTTTGCTGCAGGCAATAGATCAGATCGTTCCAGCCAGCTCACAGTGCCTGCAACCAAAACAAACACAAGAAGCCTGGAGGCAGGTGGCTCTTGGAGTTTATTCAATGATGTCCGAAAGCTGTATCTGCAGTTGCAGTGTGATTGCCTTGTACCAGATATCAACATTCAGATTTAAAATTGCAAGAAGGAAAGGAACGGAACCAGCGATGTTTCCTGTCTCTTTAATCAGGAAAGCAAATGTTTTCTCTATGAAGATGGTGGGCTGCTGTTATTCGTGAATAGGACCATAAAATCAGACGCGAGGCGGCTCACCAGCTCCTACCGAGCAGGCCTGCAGCGCGCTCTCCGCGTCTCAGTTTTCACCACCGGCCTCTCGGGTCTCACGTTTCAAAACACCCTGAGACAGGAACAACAAACGCAGGCGGAGAGTTATTGATGCCTATAAAATTGAACATAGCGTGCATTTAAGCCCCCTGGGGGCTGGCGTTGTATTTGGGGAATATCTAAGGGTAGTAAAGCTAACACTTTGTTTACGAAGATCCTTTTAGAAGCTGTTTACACCACACAACTGCGCAGTGCTGTAAAAAAAAAAAAAAAAAGAAACCGCCACCTTTTCTCTGCTTTTACATCCCTTTCCTTAACTCCTCGACGTCACGAACGTTCCCGCAGCGTCCGGAAGCAGCTCCTTATCGAAGCTTCACGTCACAGCTACGATTAGTCTCAGAGTTTTGGGTAGGACGCCCCCTTCCCAGCGGGGCCTCCCCGTTAGCTGGGTACTGAGCATGCGCAGAAGCTCAGGCCTCCCCGTTAGCTGGGAGCCGAGCATGCGCAGCAGCTCAGCTCAGCCCCGCCCGCGGGCTCGGCCGGCACCGCCCCTGCCCCCGGACAACCGGAAGCGGGCGAGCGCCAGG